CCCCCCCCCCCCTTTCATTTCGGGCCCTGGCTTGGTGCAGCTCCGGCTCAAACTCATGACTTGCACAGGCTGCGGTCGCTGCCACCCAACTTCGGATGAGGCTCTACAGTACACCCTAAACCCCGGAATTGTAATGTAGGGGGCCTGAATAATTTAGAATAGGGCCCATGATACTATAATTCCGATAAGGAGCCCCCAAAGTAGTAGAGGTAATCATTCAGGGGCTCGTATATTGGGGGTTTAGGGTTTAGGCTTCAAGGGTTGGGCAACGGGACTACAATCCTCAAGCATCCCTAAACTCATCGGCTGGAAAGGGTTTTGTGAAGGTATATGGGAGTTCCCGACAGTAAGGGGGGTACCTTCATTTTGGGGTCCTTATAAGGATCCTACTATGTAGGGTACTATATTGGAGTCCCCTATTTTCGGAAAGCCCCAGATGTACCCTAAACCCTTAAAACAAACCTAAACCCTAAACCCTAAATACACCCTAAACCCTATAGTGATCGTGCTTCTGATGGCTGTCCGACTCGAATGAGATCCCTCTAAAGCTCTCCGTACGCCGCCCAAATCCTCAGTTTGAAAACTCTGTACCCTAAACCCCCCAGTCACTACCTAGAGTCTCCATTGTAGTTCCTTTTTTTGGTATATAGGCTACCCTGAAAAGGAACTACAATGGAGACTACAGATAGACCGCCGATAGACCCTTGACGCAAGGAAATAATACTCAAACGCAGCTTTTCTGCTCCGCTGGCAGTCCCGTCGCAAGGATCAGCGCTAACCGCTGGCTGAGGCGCGGCAGCGCGTAGGGCTGGGCAAGCTGCCTGAAACCCTGAACCCTAAACCCCAAACCCCAAACCCCAAACCCTAAATCCTAAACCCTAAACCCTAAACCCTAAGCCCTTAACACTAAACCCTAAATCCTAAACCCTAAACCCGACATCCCAAGCCTGAAACCCCCAAACCTAATGCTCCCTGAAAGTTAGGGAACGGTTTTTGGGGCATCTGGCTCGGGATCATCGCTTTTGCATGGGTTTTCCCTCCATCTGCAAAAAAAAACTACCTTTTTTAGGGGCTCTCACTATCAGATTCTTACAGAAGTCCTTAAGGTTTCGATTGTTGGGCTTCTACTTGCGGAATGCGGATAGGGTTTAGAAACCTTGCAAACCCAAAAGCATAAACCCGAAGAACTATCAACTCTCGAAGTCCTAAATTAGGGCCACCCACCTCGCTTGTAAGCGTAGTTGCCATCGAAGCGTGTTGTCCTTGGCGACCACAGCTCTCGCAACTCTGCTTTGGAGTGAACGGTTTTGGCAATATCAGAGGACCCTGGTGTCGGATCTTAAGGCGAAGGTAGCCGACCCCTCTGCACTCAGGACCAATGCTCAGGTACTCAACCTTCAGGACTTTGGGTTTAGGGTTAGCGACGAAGTGGTAAGTTGCGGTTTTGGCTCCGAGCTTGGTCGGTGGACAGCCTAAGCGCCTAACGCGAAGCCGATGCTCGGGAACCTGACTCCAAAGCCACGCCGACAGGCAGGAACTGGGTAGGTCCGGGCCAAAAAGACAGGCCACAAACTTTGGGTTTAGGACCGCAGAATCATGCGTCAAGGTTTCACTGTCTTCGCAGATGGTCTACATCCCAAGCTCTGCGAACTCGGGATGCAAAGAACAACTACTATCTTCAGGTCTCCGCAAAGCAGTCATTCACCTGATGATATCAAGGCTGTCCTTGGTTTAAGCAGAATCGAGCGGCCGGGTACCCTAATCCCTTAAACAAGATCCGTTGATGAAGATACACCGGCCGACCTATCTAGAATTTTCTAGTTTTTATGTAGCAGCAGACCCACAATCCCAACCCTAAACCTTCAACCCCGAACCCTAAACCCTGAGCCCAAACTAAGCCCTGAAACACCCTAAACCCAAATCCCGAATCCTTGATCCCTACCACTCTCAACCACAGACCCGAATCCCTAAACCCTAAACCCTAAAGCCTTAAACCCTAAATCCATAAACCCGAATTCCTTATACTCCCTAAAGCCCTCATCCCTGCACCCGAAACCCTCTTTAAGCCCGAAGCCTTATCCCTCCTCCTTCTGCATCCTGAACCATGAACCTAGAGGCTACCAGGCTACCCTTTAAAGGAAATCCCTTAAGGGTTCCTTTTCCCTTGCCATCAAAGGACTCATATTTTAAGGCGTTTGGGTCCGAAGATCCTATTATATAAGGCTTTTGGGCTATTTTGATGCTAAGGGTTAAGGGTTCCTTTTAGGGTTTCTAGAAGGGTATATTGTGGGGTTACAGGGTTGAAGGGTCCATGCACCCAGAAAAATAGTATACACTCAAGCCCTACAAAGAAACTATATTCTATAGGAACCCCTAAACCTTAAACCCTAACCCCGAACCCTAAACCCTAACAGCTAAACAACCCTAAACTCCGAGCCCTGAGCCAGCCTAGAGGCTGCCTAGAGGTAGAACGGCTCTAGATCCCATATAGGAACCCATTTAAGGACGAAGTCTATACTTTCTGGGCACATGGAGCCTTGAGGGGATTTAGGGCTTAGGGTCGGCCCCAGGCCTACCTCTGAGCCAAGTGTCCGAAGCAATGGCTTTCGTTAGGTGCACGGCTTCGTCGATGCCTCGGAGATGCCAGGCTTGGGGAAGCTTAGGGGGTTATAAGTTATAGGCTATAAAGGGTTAAGCGGTATGTTGCGGTGCCACACTTTTCGAAACTCTGCTAAGCAGAGCTTCGCCAACGTCGCATGAGGACCCTGGCTCAAGCTCTATACATGGAAGAGTAACTGTTGTACCTGCACAGGGGGCCGCAGAATCGAAACATCCGGCCGTTCAAACTGCTACTGGTGAAACTCATGACTCGATGTAAGGGTTTAGGGTTTAGGGTTTAACCCAAAGGGTCTAAGTACCATTATAGTAGGTACTTTATAGGTTTTAGGCCCCAAACATATATACTATGCTATTACTTGGACCCTTTGGGTAAGCTTTAGGATTTTCAATGTAGCAAAGAACTGCAAAGACACATCAATGCAGCGCTTGGAATATGAACGAGTAGCATAGGGTCTAAACACAAAGCCCTGTATCCACAACCAAGAATAATCCGAGCAGCTCCGGGCGACGGCAGGATAGTCGCTCCCAGCAATGACGTCTAGAAAGCCTTGCTCGTTCCACAGCACCTTTTCGAACAACAATCACAACAGGATCTTGGTTCCTGGCCTGACTGGGTGTTTCTTATGGACACTGACCTGTTCAGGTACGCTAGCGAAACAAACCTACACATCCCTGTTATGGTAATGTAGGTAGCCCCACGCCTACGTTTAACGTCTATGCGGTTCCGCTTTACATAGGGTAATTATATCACGGTAACGTGAGCTGAGACAATAGGCTGGATCGACAAGGTGCTGCAGCCCTGCCCTAAGTCTCATTCGGCATGATGCGATGACGTCTTGGTGCTGTGAGTATCTCGAAAAGAGCTCCACACATGCACTCATCAATATCAGCCCTCTTGCCAGCGCTTCACGAACTCTCAATCCCAAACCCTCAAACACAAAAGCCTAAACCCTGAACCCCTTGAGAAATGGAGCCAGCGAGGTGCCGTGGGGAGGCCGGCAGCGAAGGCATTGACCTGGGTAACATTCACGGAGATAGAGGAAAAGGCAAGGGAAAGAGGGGTTTAGGGTTTAGGGTTTGGGGATTGTACAGAAGTTTCAAGTTTTCGTGATAAAAAAGAAACTGGCACTTATTGTTTGAGGTTCCGGCTTTTAGGTTTGGTGACCATGCTGTAGACAGCGGATGTCTGCGATTTCAGGCAGCTGCACACCGGTGTGAAGACCGGATCGCTGATGATCACCCTCGAGCAATAAGGGTTTAGGGTTGAGGGTTTAGGGTTTAGGGAATATTTTAAGTCTCCGCAAGCTTTCACAAGCTGTCCATGGTTCCATGGTTCGTGGTTGACCTCTTTTCGGAAGCAGCTCCCAAAACCGCTCCGAGGCTTACCAAGAAGCACTTGGCCCTTGCTCCAAGGTATTCCTCAGTCTGAAGCCTTACCTAAACCCCCAAAAGTAGGTAAAATAATGGCCCAAAACCCATAAAAGGCTATTATTCTACATACTTTTGGGGTCCAGGTATACCCCACAAAGACTCCCGAAAGTGCTTCATCTGCATAGTTTCCGCATATCGAAAGCCTCCGCCCTCCCCAAACAGCATGTCAAACCCTCGAAGCCACAAAAGGGTGCCCTCGCGGATTGCGGCTTTAGGGTTCAGGGTAAACCTATAAGAAGCCCTAGAACAAAGAAGTGCGTTGAGGCTGAGGTTTGACAACCTGTGGGCCTGGGTGCAGAAGTTATGTGGTTCAGCATTCGGGGTTGTCACGGTGTGGCCAAGCAGCTACTCAAAGAACAGCAAGAAAGGTCAACAACCCAAACCCAGGCCCTTATCCCCACCACCCACCCCTCCTCCCTTCCCCCCCAAAACCTGAAACCCTCAACCGTAAATCCCAACTCCCCCATACCTAAAACCCTAAACCCTAAATCCTAAACCCTAAACCCTAAATCCTAAACCCTAAAGCCCAACTCCCCCATACCTAAACGCAGAAGTCCAGGTGACGAGGCGTTGGCCGGTCTTGTACCGATCGCAAAACCACTTGCGGGTGACGGTGCCTTGAAGAGGGTTTATGGGTTTAGGGTTTAGGGTTTAGGGTTTAGGGGTTAGGGTTCAGGGGTTTAGGGTTTAGGGTTTAGGGTTTAGGGTTTAGGGTTTAGGGTTTAGGGATTAGCCCAAAGGCTCCATGTATCCATGTGGGTGGTTGTCAGAATTATGGTCCCGCTTTGGGTCCTTATTATAATACGGCAGCTATTATTTAGGGTACCCCAACAGGGATCCTAATTTTGACAACTACCCATATAGTATATACTAAGGCTCCAAAGATTTCCTATATAATTACCTATTTACATACTACATAGGTGCATGGAGCCTTTAGATTAGGACACAGGATGCAATGGGGCTTAGGGTGATCAGGGTTTAGGTTTAGGGTTCAG